CGCTAAGTTGGCAACACTGCTCTTTGCATGGTTTGTTTTCAAATGGTTTGCTGCTGTCTGTTTGGACCTTTCTGAACATGTGCAGCAAATGGACTGATCCAATATGGTGGACACGAAAGGGGGGGGGCTGAGACACACTTAATATTATCAGCGTTCTTTTTATCAAAAACATAATGTGCAAAAATAAGGAATAGTTGTATTAACTATACATGTAAACAGAGTTTTATGGGGCCCCCAGGAACTTGGGGCCCTAGGCACCTGCCTAATGGTAAATCCCCCCTCCTAGCTATGCATCAATAATCAGGTAAAAAATCCCTCTTATTGCTGCTTTACTGGGATAAATATGGGATCTTTTCTCTTAGATAATCCTCTGAAAGCTGCTGATTTCCAATCAGATTAAACTCGAAGATTTTAATTCAATGCTTTGATTAGACTGATTTCTGTGAACATTTGTTTAATTAAATGAGGGGAACCAACAATGTGTGAAAATGGCAACATTTAGTAAAAGGACAAACAGCGGAGAACACTGCAGGATCAATTAAAGAATGAATTATTCAATGATTTATAAACAATGAAAGGAAAGTTTGACTTAATTCTGATTTGTTTACATCTCTCACTCCGGTCGCTCTAAACTAAACTAACATGTTTTTAATTTAAATCCTTTGAGGCTTTCAGAGCTTTTCCTGTTTTCTGGGAGTTTCTTCCAGATCAGGGGAGCAGAAGAAGTTAAAGCTGCTTCTCCATGTTTGGTTCTGATCCAGCAGACCTGAGAGGTCTGGCTGTTGACTCCCTGCCAATCTGACCAACTGAATGTTTTTCTTCCAATTTCCAAATTCAAATAAAGTTTTATTTTGAAATCCTTCCCGGTAAACCTGATCTGAACTTTTCTACCTTGATCTCTGCTCCACAGAGAGCGGCTCCTCTGACTGATGTTCCTCTCCTCCAATCAGGGCTCCGGGTTGCCCTAGCAACTGATATTTGGGCCAATCAGATGAAAGCAAGCAGCTCCATCCCCGGTCTCCTCTGCAGCAGGGAGGCTGGGATCAGAGCCCACAGACCCGCCAGCTGGTCTGGGTCTATACACCAGTCCAGAACCAGAACCGTTTAGCAAGCAGACCGATGGGGGCGGGGGGGCCAGGCCCTTAAGCAGGGGCCCCGGGCCCTCAGTTACTCCCCTTCCTCTGGACAGGAGGAGGAGGCACAGCTCATGATGGGAAACAAGCTGCGAGGATGAGCAGCAGAACCAGAACCAGTCCGGTCCGAACCTACGACTTCCTGCTCAAGTTCCTGCTGGTGGGAGACAGCGACGTGGGGAAGGGAGAGATCCTGGAGAGCCTGCAGGACGGAGCCAGCGAGGCCCCCTACGGGTACAGCCTGGGTGAGTCAGGGGGGGTGCTGGGGGGTCAGAGGGG